AAGTTGATTGTGGGGCAAGAGTTGGGTAATCTTGTGGCTTGTAAGTTACTGTTGAAATATGAATAAAGATGTATATAAAATGGAATACTGAAAAACAAACATTCATATTTTCTGGGAATTTTTTTAATTAGATTCATATCATCATGCAGGTAGATATCTTCTCTTTTCATTCTTTCTCTTCACTTGCTTTTTCATAAGTAGAATTGTAGGTTTGACTGGTACTTTTCTAGATGCTTTACTCTCACTGAATAACTGAATCACTGAATTTACCCTAAACAAGACTACACCTCAGTGTAGGCAAGTTTAAACTACACTCTCCCATCCCCCTCCCTTTCATGCACCTCAGGTTCAGGTTTTAAAAGCTGTATTTATATTACACCTCTTAAGGCCCTGCATCCTGAGTCTGTGAGCTACAACATGTACTATTCAGATTATACGACTTGGAGTGGGAGTGGATCTACCTTTGGGCCATTTTTTTCTCTATCATTAAGGCTCAGACATATAAATCTTCCAGTTTAGGCATTCATCTGTCTTTAAAATGACAACATAATGCTTTTTTTCTACCATAATGAATAGTAATAGTATCTTTTTGGAGCCCTGAGGCACTTTCACTTAAGTGTGAATTAAAAAGTGTAACAGAAACATTGAAACAATACATCTCTTTCTATTTTCTTTGTGTTCTCCTTTTCTGGTCTTACTGCAACAGATGGTAAATAAGACTCAAAAATGAAAGCTCTATACATTAAGATGAGATTTTTTTTCTTAGTAAATTTCTGAAACATTCATAGGCAAAGCTGGTGTGTTCATTCAGAAAAAAACAAATCATAAAAATAGGTAATTAATTCTTTATCACTTAATTAGTTACAAATACAAGTACATCCTTAAAAATGTTTTGTATTTATCATATAAAAAGTTAACCACTTCACATATTAACAATAATCATGCAGGGAAGGGAATCAATGAACCTTATCATAATCTATATAACTTACATGCTATTGATATATATAAAAACATCTTTTTATAGGAAATAAATGGCTGCTGAGTCACTGTTAACTGTGATATACTGTACCTTCCTCCCTGTATGGAGACCTTCTCTTGTGTAGCCATAAAAAGAGCCTTCAAAATATTTTCTTAAGGTGTTGACTTCAATGAACTAAATTAAATTATATTCTGAAATGAATTTGGTATGGTTTTTTAAATACTTTTGTGCTTGATTTCTACAGTTCTGAAATGGCCAAGCTAATGCACAGTGATTACGTGTTTTCTGAATTTTGTTTTTCTGTCCTGGGGCATCCTTTGGCTGTATACAACAAACCTGTCCAAGGCTATTGCTTGAGAGCCAGAGCAGCACATGTAAACACTTCATGGTGGCTTTACATCGACTCCTAGTAAAAGAGAGAGCTCTGCTAGGTGTGCTTAGCTACAAAGCTTTTATAAAGGAGACAATTCTGAATAGCATACTTTTCCACCATGAAATTAGTTTTCAGGCCTTCTAATATCACTGATTCATGAAGTGAAATAAGAGTATTATTTTGCTTTAGCAAAATGTTTCAAAACAACCAAAGAATATATTTGCAGAAGAAAGCAGAGTGAAGTACAGCAAAATATCTGAGGATTTTTATGTAGAATAGCAAAAAAAAAAAAGAAAAAAGCAAAAAGCACATAAAAATGTTGTGAATGCTGTGAATATAAATCTGACACTATAATATGAAAATATAATTCAAAATAAACCATTATGTTCTCATACTTCTATATAGACACCAATTATTTAAGGAGCAAGCTATCATTATACTTACCAAAGGGCTTTTAAAAGTGATTAAATTCTTTTAACTATGAAGGGAGTTGGAAGAGTTTAAAAACTCTTCAGAGGAGTTTAAAAGTGGTGGCTTCTTTGACAAACATGCTGGCAAATGACAATGAAACAAAACCACGTACATAATTAAAATGTTCATGGAGACATAAAGACTTGTTCAACAAACTGATAATATTAACCCATACTGCTTGCTTCAGAAGACATGTTTTCGGTGAAAGGCTCCTTATTGTCTCAGAATACTATGTTGGCTAAGCTTCGGTATTGCATATCCATTTCACACTCTTTGTGTCTTCTTTTTGGGAAATTAGAATAGGTCTTCACTTTGTTCTGAGTTGGAATGAAAGCAAACTACAGAATAAGTCAAGAAATTAAATACCTGGTTTTCGGATACCCTTAGGTCTTAGGAATCAGTACATTGTAACCTCTATTGTATGTCTTAAAGTCAATGGGAAAGTATGTATGCTAGAGAAGGAACTGAAAACCTTATGCTGGAGTCTCCTCTGGTTTTGTTACTGCTTAATTAAATTCTCTTAAAACTAACTGTTTCTTAAATACATCAGCACAAGTGACAAAGAGAATCAGAATCTACTGTTAGAAAGGCTGAAGAATCTATACTTATTCCATGAAACTTTTTATATTTGCCAGTGTCTGGAATGTGTTGGGTGTCATTTGGCAGATTTTCAGTTTAATGAGTCTTTCATTTCACCTATTCATAGCAGAAAAATTTTAAAGCAAATATTGTAGCTGTCTAGGCTTCAGGACATTGACATCCCCTTCAAATACTTTTAATTAATGAAATAGTGCTGATACAGGGCAACATTAGAAAAATTTATGCTAGCTTCCTTAGGTAACATTTGTCCATCAAGTAGACAGCAAATCACATCTGTGGGTCACAGAACCTAATAGGTAGTATTAATTAAAGTACCAAAAAGCACTGTAGTGATATTTCTTAAAGAGATTTAAGTCTACAGGTAGATAGGAAGAGATCACAGGACTTTGGCAGTAGAAAATGTATCAAAGACAGTACACAGACAGAATCTGCTTTTTTCTTTTTTCTGTTATTGGGTGGCAAAACCACTAGTGACAAGTTAAATGGAACTCACTCATGCCAAGTGATTGCCATTTGCTGGTGATGACAACTGACAAATACTGAAATCAGTCCAACAGCAACAGCTCTGAATTTTGGAACAATATATCCCCACTGCAGACCCTACACCAATATGCCCTTTTCACAGCGTTAAATGAATGTGGCTGGAGTATCTCAAATCTGATTGTACACCAAAATTTGTTAGTTTTGTGAGGTGCTCAGATAAAACGGTGATGGATCATGGATGTATCTAAAGCAAGTAGGCAGATCATTCATCTTCTCACTCAGTAATGCTCTTGAGCACCCATTCTCTGCAAATCTATATAGTCAAGTGCAGTCAACATGATTTTTTCCATGGTTAGACCTAGACAGTCTTAAATTTCTTTCAGAACACTGGTCTCTCATTCCTATAACACTGAGAACAAGGCATTCTTTCCTCAAAGAAAAACATATTAGAAGGCATCGGTTCGCTAGTATAAAACGTTCTTATATTATAGTGGAAATAAAATTTTGCATATTCTGCACTCATTAATGCAATCTTTACTTTGTCTAAGCAACTGCAGATTTTTGAGTTTGGGGTTTTTTTGTTGGTTCTGTTTTTAATATACAACTAAAAAATATAAGTGAACTTTATTTGTATCTTTACATAAATTACTTGCAAGCATCTTGATATAAGAATCAAAACTATGCATTTAATTTATTATTGCTTTGTATTTAAAGTTGTTATGCAAAATTAGTCATTATTTCTTCATCTGTAGGGCAATAGTTTCTAATGTTCTCAAAGTCACATATTAGCATCTGTTAACTGAGACTTAATGTACCCCTGTGGGTTGGATAAAGAGTACCTAAGTTTCACTTCACTTTCAGTTGAAGTCTAGCCAAGTGTAGGATAAATGTGTCAGATTTCTTCTGCTCAGGTGAATCAGAGGATACATTATTAAGAATAAATTTGGTGTTATTCTGATCGAGAGTATTCTTACAACAGATGAGCAATATGTTATATCTTAGGCAAAACACCAAGGAATAAGAAGTTTCTCTTTGTGATTATTCCAAAATAAATTATCTGCAGGGGAATAATCACCAATAGCACAATGCTGAGATATTATACAGGTTAGTATTGATTCAGATCAAAGCATAGGTACATGTAATTTTTGTGTATTAACACCACTTCCCAAAGTGATACCCAAAGTGTCTTTGCTTTCTACAGCCACTGAACCACTCTGGGAATTTGTTTTGAAAGGTATAACAAAATAACCCATGAGATTTTGCACTTGTAGGCTGACATAACAAAGACGTTGTATTTCAACTCTGTACTTTAATACATTCTTAGTTTCAAATCAACAGGTTTCAAATCAAATCATTCAGGTTAACCCTGAATTAAATAGTTGGCTTTGTATATGCTTGGCTTCAAAGCACAATAACCTTTGGTAAATAATGGAGGAACAAACTGTGCGATATAAATTAAGTGTGATTTTTAATTTCATACTGTATACTCCATACCCTTGCATAACTCATAATATCCAAGCTTTTCTGGAAAATTTCCTAGTGTATGATATGCATGCAAATGAACAGCTTTTAGCTCTGAATTGGTTTGTTTTTTATTCAGATTATGTGTGTGTATGTGTGTTTATAGTGTTTTGTTTATGATTATGATTTTATTTATGTATGCTTACATATATACTCATATTCGTTATAAAAAACACATTACTACATTTGTGGTTTAAATGGTCTAATAATGAAAGGGAGAGACAGCAGAAATTAATTCTTTTTTTTTACCACTAAGATCTGATATAGATTGTACACAATTAATTTGTGTTAAAACTATTTCAGGAGCTCAATTAACCTAAAATGGAAATGATTACTGTGCACTTCAGATGTGCTCACTGGCTTTGTAAATAATCCACCATTTTCCGTATCTTAGTTTCATGAGAATTAGTCCTAAATCATATGACTTGTAATGAAAGATGAATGTGCTTGAAGAAAATCAACTCTTCTGAGATGAGGTGGACAGGAACTTTTTTAACTAAAAAAACTCAGTCTTTTTCTTATGCCTACCTTATCATACCCTATTTCTTTGTCTACCATTTTCCCTATACGTAGCATGGAGATATTTGCCTAGCTCGAAGGACTGACATAAGAATTAATTACTTAGTATCTGAATACCTGAAGGTGGAGTGACCTGCACATAATGTTGTAAGTAACGCTTATTGCAATATTTTGACTAGAATTGTTAATTATCATTTTTGTCTTGGGCAAGGTATTTTTCATCTCTTAATCTGAGACATGTCACTTGTAGGATGGACAGAACTTTTACCATGATTTCAGTTGCTTTGCTAACTGAAACAGGATGTATAATAGAACCAGCTTTTCTGAGCATAAACAAAATTTGTTATCTTTGTGTATTATCTCAGTCTTTTGCTTCCACTCTGGTATCCAACTCTGTGGGTTAGTGCACAATAGGGGCAGGCAGACTTCCCTTCCAACACTGTTAAATAGAGGATGGGTCCTGACTCGTGAGGCTGGTAGCTGTTGATAGAATTAGCAGAGGATGGAATATCACTTTCTCATAACTTTTTGCAGGAATGATGGATTTATTCATAGTATCAGCTTCTGCTCCCCTGCTGTTTTGCTTGTGCTGTGCTTAAATAAGCATAGGGCTACTTAGTGGTATCACACAGACTCAACTAACTTCAGAGGGTGTAGCAAGATTTCCTTCAGTTAGCATTTCCTTACAATGCTTTAGCTAGCTGTTCCTTTGCAAAAAGCATAGGTTTAAGATCTCACCCATATGCACTTTTGGAGAATTATTTATTACTGCCAGGACAACTGTCACAGTAGTTCACTTAGTAATTCTGCTATACAACATTGATGGGATCCTTTTTGTCTTTTTCACAGTCTTTGAAGATTCATGTTCTCAGAGAACGTCAATCTAAGATACTGAATATCAACATTTAGAACTAACACACTGCCCAGCGTGAAATGCATATGAAGGAGACAAAGGAATTAAAGGGTGCAGATTAAGATGCTGAAGGTCTATTTCTTTCAGGATATATAAGGAAATTAAAAACTTTTCTCTTTCAGGAAGTGATTGCATAGGCAATATTTTAAAGATCTCATTCAGTTATTATTATGTCACCAGAACTGATCAGAGCAAGCGATCTTTTTTTATTATTATTACTTCTTACTTATTATTATTACTTGTTACTACTTTTCTCTAAACATCCACTATCTACTAGTTTGAATTAGTATGTGTGTTGCTAAGAAGCCAATTAAATCTTGTAATAGCACAAATAATTAACATGTGGGTTTCTTTTTTTCTGATCATTCTAACGTGATTTTTACTACCAAATTCAATTCTGACGTACCTGAAGTAATCTTTTTGCTTTGGAAGTATTTCAGATATTTTGGGGGCTTACGTGATAATTTAACTCTGCATCATAACAAATAAAAGTTGTGAAAGGTGATATAACTTGTTTTCTTCCATTGTAGTTATCATTAAACAGTACTTAAAGGTGACTAAAAACTGGGAGGCATTCAGTAGGAGTTCAAATTTTGGGAGGGGTTTGATATTGATCAGATTCAGCAACATACTGCAATCATGCTTATAAAATATGTGTCAGTTAATAAAAGATGAATAAAACTCAAAAATTTTTTCCTTAAAAGTGGTGTGATAAGCTGGATGACAGACATTTTATTTATGGAACGGGGCAATTTCCAGAGCAACAATCAAAATTATTCAAGGTTATGCTGTTTAGTTTTATGAAAGGAGTTTTATATTAATAGATGTGAATATGCAATTCTTTGCTTTGAAAACTAATTAGAAAGTATTTTACTCTATAAGACACATTTTCAAAGCGTTATCTTAAATATGTTGCATAGCTTCCTCCATATAATTCCTATCTCAATTTTCTTTTTTGTTCATCTTTCTTGCATTTTCTGTTACTTTGGTCATTTTCTTCTCTCTGTTCTGATATGACCTTGCATTTCTCAAGTAGATTTTTATCATTCCCTTTTTCCACCTCATTATTATTTATCCTTTAAATTGCAGTAGTTTCTAGAATAGGAATTATCAAACTCCAGGAGTCGTGATCCCACTTAGGGTAATGGGTATTACCATGTAAACAGAAATGTGGTTGCAAGTCTGAAAATGACCCCATAAATGAGAATGGAAATGGAGATTGTTAGCCCTGAAGAGGAGCCAGAAGCAGAAAAGTTTTTAGAACGTTAGCCAAAGGGTAAAGTAATATGTATCCAACCCTATTTTGCAAAGTGCTCTAGACTTTACAGGGAAATAATTATCAGAACAAGACAGAACTGAGAGATAATACAAACAGATAGTAAAAAAGGAGGTAATTTGGAGAACAAAAATAATAAAAAGTGAGAGATTCTTGGCCAAGTGAAGTCAAGTCCTTTTTTTCCTTATCTCCACTTTCTTCTTGAACTCTTGCTCCCTCAAAAATTGTCACTAAGTACTTCAAGTTTTCAAATGTTCTTCTCTCCCTGCCCTCTCAGGTTGCAGCTTTTCTCCATACCTTTGTGAAGAAAAACAAGGTTGGATGGGTTGGGAGGGAGCTTGCCTTTCAAACAGTCCAGTGTCTTCTGCTGATACACTTACAGTTATTAAACTGCCTACCCACTTCTCTACTGAGCCTTGTTTTCATAGGGCAATGCAGGCCATCTCAGGTCAGGCACCATACTGCCCTGCAGTAACAAAACTCACTTCAAAGAAGGAGAAAAAGGATGCTGACAGCTTACACTGTGGTTCTTTTATGAGAAAAGGCAAGATAAGGGACCTTGGAGTTCTATAAGATGGCAGAAACTTTGGATCCACCACTGAGTTAAATGTAAGGGGTTAGACTAAATTTGCCAGAGCATTTGACAATTTTTTTCCTACCATGACACAGAACATTTCTGATTTTACTCTTCCTTTCTTTTCTAGCTGGAATTTACAGCACTGTCTGGACAAAATACTGAGTAGTTTGTTTACATTTTAGTGACTATTTCAAGATAAAATCTTGCTAATAAGTTCTTTAAGGGCAACTCAGAAGATGCATGAGGCGAGGGTTAGAGTTTTGATCATAAATTCTTTATCTATTTTGCATTTGCAAAGAGCCTCTCAAAGAATATCAAAGAATCATATAAAAATAAAAGATTTCCAGCAGAGAGCAGTGCATGTATTTTTATTTTATGTATTATGTATATGATTTCTCTCTATTTGTCTTTGTTAAATTTTGATCAGGTTAATATTATTGGAATCAGTAAAAGTGACACGTCTAATAGCAAAGTGAGATGAGAGAAATATTTTTCCTTGAAGAAAGTGCAGAGTGGTTTGCTCAGGATCTCATATCTGCACTGTTGATTTTTCCCTCAAAAATTTCATTTGCTTTCCTTCACATTATTTATTTATATAGCTCGAAAAAAATAAAAAGTTAATTTGGGAGAAATCAGTACAAGCCTTAAAATCAATACACTGAGATGAAAGACACACTAGCAAGTATGTTGGGTAGTTTAGTTCCATTTGGTGTGGCTGTCTGGAATGAAATGAATTATTTCCCATTAAATGAACAGCTTTGGGGATAGAAATACACTGGGTCTAAGTGACTCACTGAAGTGTTTGTGGTGTGGGAAAATTAATGGAGCACCATACGAATTAAATTAGGTGGGTAAAAATAAGAAGTTTTGTAGATTGTGGCTATACCTTCCTTGCAGAAGGAGTGGAGGAGCACCCACATCCTCAGTCTACCCCACTGTCGTCTTTGAAGTGAACTGTGAATGTTTGAAGAGAAAAAGAATCGTGTAAACAAGAGGGAATGAGTGTGAGGACTACTTTATTGGACCTTCTTCACACTCTGTTAGCAAACACAATTTGAGAGCATTTCAGCTGGGAACTGTTCTAGTCTGTTAACAAATCCCTTGCAAGGTCAAGAGAGATTCATTGTTGTGTCCTGAGATATGACGTATGACTTCACAAACTGTGCTGGACACACAGGGTGATGATCTCTCACCTTTTTGAGCAATGACACTGCTACACCAGCATTTCTCTTTAAAAAAAGCTCATAAGTAAAATTCCCAGTGGAGCAAGAAGTTACATTAATCACACATTTGCAAACAGAGTCACAGTGGTGGCTCATCACAAAAATGGTATTTTTGATCTCTGTCTCTTTTGGCCTCAACATCTAGTACTGAAATTACTGTCTGACTATCCAGTTTTTATTTCTGTTCTTTTCATGCCTTATCAGTGAGCCACTTCTGAGCTCCGGACATACAAACTCTTGCAATATAATAAGCACTGCTGTGTTTATACCTGCTAAGTGATATTTTGTTTAAGTGCAGTTACCAAGTACAACTTGAAAACTTTGGCTGCTAGTCCCTAGCCCTGGGTTTTTTTACCATTACCTGGCAGTAGCTGAAGTGGCTCACTGAATCAGGCAGTCAGGAGTTACTGGGTTGATCTCAAACCATTGAAGTCATTGATGAGATGGAGGTGGCAGCTCCATATCCCTAGGAACTGTGGCCACTTCCCTCCTCACTGATGCCTGTCCAGCAGGTGAAAGCTCACTGAGCATCATGCCAGAGTGGGGAATCATAGTTTATTAGATCTTATTTATATTTATGTGTGTTCACCAAGAGCTCTCATTGCTTTCTAATCATAGACTGTATATATTCTACTTGCAGAGTGTGTTCATACCTGCCTAAAGATGCCCAAGCAAACTGGTCCAGGAGAAGAGTGGAAGTTATGGGAAGAGAGCAGCAATAAACACTCAGACATCCAGTGAAACAAGAGACAACCACATACGGTCACTCAAATTTAAATTTACTTATTTCAAGGTGTCAAAGCATTTCAAACCATGTTAAGAGTATTTATGTAGAAGGCTAGAGATAGAGCAGGTACCTAAGCTCTTACAATTTCACATTGAAGTCGCTTAGGTTCCAAAAATACTGCTTGTACATATATAAATACCTTGGTCTTGACACTAGAGATCAACTTGCCTGTATCAAAAGTAAGTTCTGCCAGACTCTTTTAAACTAAGCATTTCTCTTTCTTTCTCGAAGGATAAGCAAATATTTTTCCTTCTGATTGAAGTGTAAACCTACCTTTTCAAAGAAAAGACACAGAGATTTCCTTTTTTACTATGGTCCTGTGATCAGATAAGAAACATGAGCTAAACTTATGTCTTTGGATAGGAGTTCAAACCTTCATGTTCCGTGTCTCCAAATGTCTTATTCTAAGGTGGTAGTACTACTAAGTCAACATTAAAAAACCTAAATATGTTCTGCTTTGTATATGACAAAGAAGAGAGCACTGAAAGCAGAGGTGATGTATATGAGCCCAGATGTCAAGTCTAATGGTTGTTCAGTATGTTCATCTGAGAACTGATGGGTTCCACTTCACTGCATGTGTTTGGTATTTTATCAGGGCTTTTATGAGGTAAAATGTATAAGCAACCCTTAAAGTCAGCCTCAGAAAGTAAGCTACTTCCTTTGAAACTGATTTAGATAAATTTCAAAGGAAGTGCAAAGAAGTGCACCAGTCAAAGCTGGTGACTAAAGTACTTTAGAGTTATTTGGTTTGAATCCAGTAAGATAAGGGTAGATATTAAGTCAGCATTTGCATGGGCTAAAATAAAACATTACTCTTTCAGTTGCTGTGTGGGAAAAATGTCAGCTTCACCTACCATTCTACTTCAACAGCAAATACTGTTTGGTTTTCATTTGAAGGAAATGTCAAAAGCATCTACTTGTGAGAGGTGGCTCTACTCTATGAAATCCAAGTGGTGAGAAATGCTCAGACTCTGGAAACTATCTAGAAGAACTATGTGATAAGTCTTCAACTCCTTACTGTCTTCTGGTTTTTTTCAGCTTGCTAGTGTAAATCCGTGATTTTGTGATTATGTAATCAAATTCCAGCTTGGGGATTTTTTTTCCAGAGTTTTGTGAAAACATTTTTGTGACAGACAGAAAATTATCTATGTTCATATTCCTCAGGCACATAAACTTTCTTGGAACTTTTCTATAAAAGTTGTCAAGACTTATTCTGCACTGGGATTCTGCCAAGTCAGCAACCCATAGGCACTTAAAAGGATGATTGTTAGCCAAGGAGGTCATTTATCAACATCAGTAGTGCTGACTGATTCATTAATTGCATCAACATCATGATTAGAAATGAATGAAAATGTCTCAAAGCAAATATTTTTTTGCTGATTCAGTATTTAGCAGTGCCCACATTTTTTTCACCTGTGAAAAGTAATCCCTGGTATTAATTTTTTCCAGTACCAACTTCTCTCTAGAGCTCCTATGTTTTCCTTAGTATTTTTTCTCCCTGGTAGTCTAAATGAATAGCAAATCTATTCAGAGCCTGTTGTGTGAACATAATCTCATTTATACTAGAGATAATAGAAGATATGGTTCTTTTTCAATTAATTTTGTGTGTGATTCATATCAGCTAAATTTAAATGTCTACAGTTATGACATCTACAGCTGATCCATTCACCCTTGACTCACAGAAAACAGTTGAATCACCTCAGGTACTTTACATATCTGTGGTAATTATAAGATGAAAATTACTTGAAAGTACTAATTTCTTCTCACTGCCTACAAGTAGAATCTTAAGGTGAGTACCTCAAACATCGGAATCTATTTTTGCCCAGAAAAATTTCACATTCTGTGGCTTTTGATATCTTCATGTCAGATGTTGTCTTAGTTTTTATTTCAGTTTTTGCTTTAGATTATACTTTCCTTTTATAGGAATCAACAAATACATGCATCAATAAAATTAGCATCAGGAAACTACAGTGATAATAAGCCCTAATTATTGATATCACAAAAATACTAAATTCTGTTATTTAACCATTCTTCTCATTGCAACAGAGAAGTCATATTGAGAACAGAATCTAAAACTAATGTATTTACGTATTTCATGCACATATGAGAACACAAATGTGTTTTGATGTCCAACTTATTAACTCAGTGTCATACAGGCTGTCTAAGTTTCATGACAGACCTTGAAAAAAAAATTTGGACTATTACATTTGAGAATTAGAAAATTAGATGGAAAATACAACTATAGCATCCTTTAGAATTAAACATGAGACTAAGCTAGACAGGGCAGCAGAAACCAGATTATTCCATTCCCAAATATAAAGAAATCCTTATGACATGGAATTTACTGGTCTTTAGCCTGTGTAGATGAATTCAGGCACTCTAAACTGCTGTAGTTTTACATCTGAAATAATGTATCTTTTTCATAAGAGGAAGGTTACCTGTACTCTTTGTATGATTCTCAATGATTCCTAAACAAAGCATTAAGGAAAGATTATCTGGAGCATGGATGCCCTAAGAACCAGTTTGACAGTTTTATGTCAACAAGGTTAAGTTACCATCTATCCACTGAAAAACTATAAACCAAACAAATAATTAACAAGAGAATCAATGAAAATTAAATACCATTTTTACCCAGTGTGTATGTTTAATTTACAAAACCTAAACATAATGCAATAAATTTTACAGTATAGGAAATTTAACACTAGACATGGAACATACACTCTTTCATGTGAGCATACCCTGAAGGGATATTTTTCTATCAGAAAAAAACCTTGTCAGAACATTCTGCTTGCAAGAAGATTTAAACATTAAATCATTAAACAAAGAACATAATGATTTCATTTTGGAAAACTTTTTGAAAGAATATGAAACTCTAATATACGTCCCATGCCTGACGTTGCTCCTCCAGAAGTGACTAGTAAGTCATCCATATAAGTAAGAAACTGTGGATTAGGTTTTCTTTACCAGAGCTATTCCTTGCACTTAACATCAACCAAGAGATTTTACATCTCTTTTCACTAATTCTGCCTCTATATGGTATCTTTTACTGAAAAAACTCTAACTGCAGTCCTAAAAACTTACTGATAAATTGTATTTTGGACTCAGTTGCAGCATTTGGTCTTTGGATGGCAGACTGTGACCCACAGCAGATAGTAATGTGTTTGCCTACTGGTGAAGACTAGAAATAGCTATTGTGAAACTCTGACAAGAGGGTCCAGGGTTTAGGAACTCTATATAACCCTAAATATTATTATATGTCTTACAACTCACAACCCTTTTGATATTCTCTTGCATAAAGGGGACTAAATGATTTGGCAAGTCAATTTAGAACAAGCATAAGGTACTAGGATGGGCAGTTACCATCATGTTACACATACATTCACAAATTACGAAAAACCTCCTAAAGTTACAAAAACCCCAAACCTGCAAACAAAACCAAACATGCAAACAAATTAGTTTCCTTTCTATTTTCTTCCCTTTTATTTGCTAATAAATGAATTTACTAGGATTATCATGTTATTGGGGTTCACCTTAATGCTAAAGCCAAATATGCATCACCTGTCCCACCCATCCTCCTCCATCATATCTTCCTGTTTACTGTTCAAAGTGCAAAATTAATGTTTAAATTTATTCTTGAGTACCCAATTATTACAACACAGAGCTTAAGTGCTTGACTCATGGCTGTGGATTTCAGTGTCCTAGGAACAGATATGAATATGCATTCCTCAACTGTGAACTGGACTAATTGTGATTCCCTGTACCAGAAACTGGGTAGGTAAACATTTTGTGACATTGAGGGAGACCCATGTACTTTTGCAGTGTAAGTACTTTAGGTAGAACAAAGTTTATAATATCTTGTCAATAAAGACCTTTCATATCATATTACAAATGCCTTGGTGGGGCTGTCTAACATAGTGACTCTAGGCAGTCATAAATTACCTTTTGAAGAAAAGGGTTATCTTTGCATCATCTGTCTGAGAAACAACCACTATGTATTGCTGTTCATGATCGCTGTTCAAAATATGAACAATACTAATGAGGTCTGGAAGAAGTTACCTCTGGCTCTAGCTAAATTATCTCTGCTAGTCTGTAGTTTTGTGAAAGAAATTAGGCAGTAAAAAGAAGTATGTGGGTTTATATTCACCCTTACTGTGTTTAGAGGAACCCTGAATACAATTTGGGAAAGCAGTTTTCTTTGTACTAAGAAAAGATCATTTTTTGTTTCTGTTTGCCCTGTGGTAAATCATTTGTCCTTCAGGGACCACATCAATAATAATAATAATAATAATAATAATAATAAAATAGTGTTAGGTTATAATTTTCAATTTGTTTGTTTAGTTTACTTTATGTTTTGTACCTTTTTGTTTGGTTGGGTTTTTTGCTTGAGGAGGTGGAGAGGGGTTTTGTTTTCTTTTTTTTTCTGGAATGAACAAGCACAGTATGAGTACCTGACTCCTGCATACCAGCATACTAACAGTTCACACACTACAGAAAAGGAAAGATGGGAATTCAGAGACTATTTTATGCTCCTAAAAATCACTGGATTAAAAGTCGCAAAGCCTGTTAGGAATAAGAACAAGAACTCCCAAGTGACCCCTAAGAGATTTTTAATCTTTAAACTATGGATGCATCTTATCTCATCTGTTTTCCTCTCTGGTAAACGAATCGTTTCTGGTAACCCATTGTTCCACTGTGAAAATAATCTTCAGTAGCATCTTGGTTAGGGCCACAGGTAAACATGCAGCTGAAGAGTTTTAGTATTTTAGTGCCAGCATAAACTGGAGCACACAGTGTCAAGTTGCTAATCAAATAATTTAACAGTTAGGCTAATATGCAAAGCAGAGAGACAGCATGTCATCAATGTGTATTTTTATAAAGAAAACAGTAAGAAAGTTCTTCACAGTTAGGTCAGGCTATGCATGGAAAAGTCACCAGATCCCTGTTTAACACTTTGGACTGGATGTGCTAAGTGCTGAGTCAAGCCAGTACAGGTTGTGTTTTGATGCAATAATAAATGTGGTTTTAGAGTACCTACTACTGGATCAAAAGACTTCAGCCACATGACTATTTTTTTTTTGCTGCCCTTATGCTGGATAAAATATCACCTGTCTGTACCACTCTGTTTTTATGCTGCTTCAGGTGCCATCTACCA